GTCAGTGGGAGGAATAGTGCCCCATCATTGGTGTCAGTGGGAGGAATAGTGCCTCATCATTGGTATCAGTGGAGGAATAGCGCCCCATCATTGGTGTCAGTGGGAGGAATAGTGCCCCATCATTGATGTCAGTGGGAGGAATAGTGCCCCATCATTGGTGTCAGTGGGAGGAATAGTGCCCCATCATTGGTGTCAGTGGGAGGAATAGTGCCCCATCATTGGTGTCAGTGGGAGGAATAGTGCCCCATCATTGGTATCAGTGGCAGGAATAGTGCACCATCATTGATGTCAGTGGGAGGAATGGTGCCCCATCATTGGTATCAGTGGGAGGAATAGTGCCCCATCATTGGTGTCAGTGGGAGGAATAGTGCCCCATCATTGGTGTCAGTGAGGGGTGGAATAGTGCCCCATCGTTGGTGTCAGTGGGGGGGGGAGGAATAGTGCCCCATCATTGGTGTCAGTGGGAGGAATAGTGCCCCATCATTGGTGTCAGTGGGAGGAATAGTGCCCCATCGTTGGTATCAATGACACCAATGATGGGGCACTATTCCTCCCACTGAGACTTGCTGACCCTGTTCTCGTATGGTGCTGCTGCAACCAGCATATGTGGTTGCAGCAGCACCTCTACACAGAACACTTACCTGCTGCTCCGGCACTCAATTTTCGCGGGGCCGCTCGGCTCCACCCCCTCGCCGGTGATTGGCCGCCTGTGTGCCTTTCCTGAGCTACAGTTCTGGCGGCCAATCACCGGTGAGGAGGCGGAGCCGAGCAGCCGCACGAACATCCAGTGGCCGAACTGAAGGAGACGCCGCGCTTCCTGGACCGGATCGTCGTGGGACTGGATCCAGGTAAGAGACATCAGCCCCTGCAAACCCCTGTATTTAATGCCGCAGCCCCCCTAAACATGTGTACCGGCGTATAAGACGACCCCCCGACTTTTGAGAAGATTTTCAAGGGTCAAAAAGTCGTCTTATACGCCGGCAAATACGGTATATATATATATATTTCAATGTTGGTGTAAATATATAAATTGGTGACAGTCCCATAAATAATGTATTCCAAAAATGTATTTGTGTGTCGTCAGGAGGATGTGATCACACCCCCCTGACGAAGCCACGTGACCCTGTGGCGCAACGCGTAGGGAAGAGGCTCTGACGTCACCACGTACCCAGCGGAAGACGGCGCGTATAGGCTGTGTGCTGCAGACACACAGAGGAGGCTCACATATTATTTCTACTAAGCGTGTTATGTTTTAATACAATGTGAGTACATCAGAGTATTGGGCACATAATAAAATCATTGTAAAGGACACGGCACCAGATTCATTTTCTGTTTTTATTGCTAAAACGGGGGACAGGAGATAAGCGGAGGGACAGTCCTGCACAGCAAGGGGGGGAGAGATCCTGACAGCTACACCAGCAAACAAGCCGTGATCTGCCCAGGAGATCCAAGGGGATATCTAACCTCCACCAGACCCTGAAGTATACAACGGATCACAACGGATCACAACGGATCACAACGGATCACAACGGATCACAACCTATTAGGACACAAAGTTATGTTTGTCTATTATTAGACTTCCATGGAGGTGAGCGCACATGAATGTCACTGATTGGAGCCCAGAGTGAAACTTCCTTTGGAATACATTATTTATGGGACCGTCACCAATTTATATATTTACACCGAGATTGAAATAATCACATACAGTTGTGTTGAAAATAATAGCCGTCAGACATCACTAACCGGATCAATCACTGTTTTTGGTGGAAATGATATTCCTACATGGCAGATAATTTCCTAGCAGGTGTAGTAGAGTCATAGAAATCCAACAGACCCGACAGTCATGACATGCATGCTGCTGATTCTGTGTCATTGAATCACTCATTGAAAGGGGCGTGTTCACAATAATAGCCGTGTGGAGTTCTATTAGTGACGTCATTCATTCTTTGAGGAACAGGTGGCAATTATTGCCCTTATTTAAGGAAGGAAGGCAGCAAATGTTGGACATGCTGGTTACAGTGCATTTCTCTCTGAAATTCTGAGGAAAATGGGTCGTTCCAGACATTGTTCAGAAGAACAGCGTACCGTGATTAAAAAGTTGATTGGAGGGGAAAACATATAAAGAAGTGCAGAAAATGATCGATCGGCTGCTCAGCTAAAATGATGGCAAATGCTTTAAAATGGCAACCAAAACCTGAAAGACGTGGAAGAAAGCGAAAAACTACCATTGGAATGGATAGAAGAATAGCCAAAATGGGGCGGACTCAGCCAACAATCAGCTCCAGGAAGATGAAAGGTGTGACGTTCCCTGTGAGGACTCAGCCAACAATCAGCTCCAGGAAGATGAAAGAAGGTGTGACGTTCCCTGTGAGGACTCAGCCAACAATCAGCTCCAGGAAGATGAAAGAAGGCGTGACGTTCCCTGTGAGGACTCAGCCAACAATCAGCTCCAGGAAGATGAAAGAAGGTGTGACGTTCCCTGTGAGGACTGTTACAATTA